TACAATCTTCCCACCCCTCCTGGGTCATCTGCCAGGAGAAGATGGGGTCTGGATGCAAGCTGTGTGTCAGGACACAGGGGTGCAGGACGTGGGGGGCCGGCAGTGGGAGGGGTGTGGGATGGCCAGACTGCTCCCTCCCAGTCCTGCCGCTGCAGCCCGCTGCTCCAGAAGGATGCAGCGTTTTATCATCCTGTGAGGCAACAGGCACCAGAATTAATGAGTTCCCTCATTTAGCTCCCTCCTGGTGTCACCAGCTTGGGGTGACACACAAGCAGCCCCCCAGGCACAGGGGGAGGGGGTATTTGAAGGGGTGAGTGTGTGAGGATACCCAGGAACATGTGCACAGGTACACACGTGTGTATGCAGCCAAGGGCTGGCGGAGACAGGCCGAAGGCTGGAGGGGGATGAGCCCCCCCAGCTGGGTCAGTGAGGGGTTCTTGGGAACACCCTGCACCATGGCACAGGGGCACAGGGACCCAAGTCCAGACATGGTTGGTCTCCACACATGCTTCGTGAAATACCTGCTATTAATTATTGACACCAGCAAAGAATATTTGCCTTCAGCATATGTTTCAAAAGCAGGAGTTTCACAGGCTGCAGGATCGATCCCACAGGAGCTGAGCGGTTGTGGGGAAGCAGCAGGTGAGGGGGGCACTGCACAATATGCCAGTGAGCAGCCAGTGTGTCCCTTGGCAGCAGAGGCTTTGTGTGGCATTGCTGTCCCCTCGGCTGGACCTCTGGCTGTTACCACTCAGCAGGGTGTGTGAGGGAAAAGACACCCCTGTGCTCTCAGTGCTGGCCTTTTCAGAACGTCGACATCTTGAAAGGGTTCACCGTCCCATGGGTGGTTTACGTGGCAGCTGTGCCAGCGCAAAGGCTGAGAAACTGCAAACCCTTGGTGTCTCTACTCGAACTGCTGTCAAAACACATCTTCCTGCCTGCCCCTGCAATGCCAGCTGGTGTTCCAGCACGCAGGATGGTAGCCTGGGCATTATCTGACTCTCTGGACTCATCCCCATGGCTGCACTGAATTTACATATGTAGATATTCTGACCATTTTTGTGAGCCCTGCAGAGACCATGATATAGTAAGTATTTTGACTGTAAATAAATCACATTTGTAGGTTGTGATGACTTGAAGTGGAAGAAGAGAGGGAGAAGAGCAGGACAAGAATGGAACTCTGTAGCCATGACACTCACCTTGCCCCACTCATTCTATCACCTGGCCTAACTAATTCAGCAAACCTGGAAAAGGCCCCTGTAAGCTGTGTCGGACAGCTGACAGCCACGGTGGATCCTGAGACACAAACACCTTTGAAAGTATAAACACTTGTCTGAAAGCCTACAGGAGTGTGGTGTTTGTGAGTAGCAGAGCTCCATCTAGCATTGGTGAAAACTGATGCTTCTCTAAAGCCTAATTCACAGCTGCTTTGTTAAGCATTGAAGCTGTTAGGTCTGTCAACAGCCTCAACCGACTGGAAACCCAGAGTTTCCTTATAGTCAGAGCTTGTCCAAGCAGCTCTGTGCCCTCCTCAGCATTGAGCCCACCCTGCGCCTGTGGCAGGACACAGCTCGACACAAACCTCTCCCTTCCCACACATGGGTCAGTCCTTTACCAATACTGATACAATTTTTTTCCTATCAATATTCCTTTTTGAACCCATGTAAACTTGTTTATATCTACAATCTCTTGTGGCTAAACATCCCATGGCCGAGCTGCATCAAGTGAAAAAGGGTTTTCCGTTTGTCTCAGGGCTGCAAAGCTTTTCCAAGCAGCAGCATTGCTTAATAGGCAGGGCATAGGTGGAGGAGAGAAATGAGTGTGGGACATAGAGCCAGCCCAGTTTAGCAGGCAAATCAGCCCCAGATTAAGTCAAAGCTACTTCAGCCTTCTATGATTTGTTGTCTTTACCCACGGAGCAACAACTGTACAACTGCTGCTGTCAGGACTTATCACTATGACTTATCACTCACAAACAGTTGGAGAGGGTGAGCCACCTGATATTCCAATGCCTGTCAGGTCTTTTTTTATTGCCTTTGAAAATCTCAAAGTGCTGAATGTCAGGCACTAATGTCTCTGACTTAGGGCACTGATGCAGGGCTGCCTTTGCTCACGCACCCATTGGCTCCAGGGACAGATGATGTGCTGCCTGCAGAGCCTGGCAGGGCTACAGGATGTGCGCTGGTCACTCTGGGGACAGAAATTTATGTACTCAGCAATGGAGGTGTCTCTGGACAAGTGTTTCACTGCTCCCTCAGGGAAGTGCAGCTGCCTGAAGAGACTCAGCCACGCCGTTGTCACTGCAAGCACTAAATGGAGCACCAGAAGCTGGCAGGGGCACTGCTCCAGGGCAGACCCTCAGTAATGAGGGGAGCTCTCCCTAGACCTTAACCCCAAAGCCCGGGCCTTAAATCAAACCCCAGGTCTTGACTCAAACCCCTGACCTTTCTGCTTTTTTGTGGCGACAGAACACTTGGATGCACTGCTGAAGGCAAGGCAGAAAGCAGCTTTTGCACACATTTCTCTGAAGCTACAGACAAGGTTACTCTTTTAATTGAACAAACAGTATCTGCAAGCTGTTAGTCCTTTGAGAAGAGCCAGACAGCTCTGAGCAATGGAACAAAGGCCTGGTGAAGTGCTCTGGTTCTCAGCTCAAGGGCCACCACCACTTCAGAAGCACTTGATAACACTTTGCTTCCTGAGCTCAAAAGTGTGATTGAAACCCAGGACGGAGCCAACTGCCAGGGTGAGGAGGCTGCTCCCAGCAACTGAGCACAAGGCCTACACAAGCACAGCTCCACAGCTGCAGATCCAGGCACAGGCATTGGTGTGAGTGGGAGGACAATCCATAGGACCTGATCAAATAGTGAGATCTTGTGGTAAATGTTCCTGAGCATCCCGCCAGTGGCACTGGCAGACCCTCACCAAACACCGTGAGGAAAGTGCTGCCCTGCTGCCCAGGGGGTCCCTGAGGGATCCCTGAGGGGCCGGGGCTCCCTGGCAGGGCCATGTGCCACAGGAAGCCCTGAAGATGGGTGACACTAAAGGACAAAGCATGCTGGAGGATTGTTCTCTGGAAGCATGGGGTCATCATCAGTTAAACAAAACTGGAAAGACCGATCAAGCAGCTTCCACAAACGTATCTCTGGGGTCCCCAAAACACAGCCACAGCAAGGAACTACGAGACAGCGTTTACATCCCAGTCTTTGTGAGAACCACCCCCGGGCTTCTACCCTGATCTCCCTCTTCTGTAAGTGCTAAATAAGATACAGTGACTTTTTCTCAACAAAGTGCCCCACGAGTATCACTGTAGGTCTTTCCTGGAGACTCAAGTTTTGTGATCCATGAAGAAGCCACAGGTTGGGGCTGTAAGTACTGTTTTTCCTTTGACGTGTGTGGTCCCCGGTGTGTTCCTGAGGCCAGGCCCCAGTGGAGCTGCGCACCTTCCCTGGGCCTTTACACCCGCCCGCCCCGGCCGGGTCCTGCGCTGCCCGGGCCACAGCCGCCCGGCCGCCGCTCTCCGAGTCATTTATCTCCTTGCGGGGCTCTCCGGGGCCGGAGCCACAGCGGCGGCCGCGGGCAAACGGCCTGGCCGGCGCTCGGGGAGCGCTGCTGCGGCTACCGCCGCTCCCCTTCCTCGGAGGCGCCTCTGGGTGATGCCGGCGGGGCGGGGCGGGCCCCCTACCTGGCCCTGGCCCCGAACCCCGGCCCTGGCCCCGAACCCCGGCCCTGGCCCAGATCCCGCCCGGCCCGGCCCCGCCGGGACCCGAACCCGGGACGCCAACCCCGGACCCTCGGGCGCCCCTGGGCCCGGCCCCACCCCCGAGGCGCCGCAGCCAATGAGCGGCCGCCGCCGCATCCGGGGCCCGCGCCCCCTGCCGCTCGCGCTCGGCCATGGCGGAGGTGAGCGCGGAGCTGCCGCTGGGGTCGTGCCGGGCCCGGGGCCGCTCCCGGCCGGGCGGGGACACTGCGACCTCCGGGCCCCCGAGCCGTGTCCGCCCGGAGCCGGGGTCCTACGGCCGCGGGGTGATGGGGCGGGGCGGGGTCCCTCGCGACGCCGAGGCCCCGGGCGGCAGCGGGCCGAGGGGCGGGGGCGGGCTGTGGCCGAGGGGCGCTGAGGCCGGGCAGGGGGCGCCGGCGGGGGCGGGCAGGGGAAGGGGCTGCTGGGCGGGACTCGGCGGGGGAGTCGGGGCGAGCGGCGGCGGGCCGGGAGCCCCGCGGCCTGACCCGTGGGAGAGGGCCGAGGAGAGGCGCTGGAGGGGTCTCCGGGCCGGGGGCTGCGGGGCGGAGAAGGTGGGCGGGAAGGCGCCGGGGCGGAGCGGGAGCCCCGAGACTGTGGTCCAGCAGTGCCCGACAGCGGCGGTGTGGGGTCGCTGGAGCCGGGGTCAGGGGTGCGAAGCTGTTCGGAAGGGCTCGCGGAGCGTGGAGGCGAGAGAGGCTCGGGCAGTGGGAGAGCACGGAGGTCGGGGCCGTTGTAGGGACAGAGCGCTGGGAAAGGTGGTGGGGACGGTCTGTCTGGGTGGTCAGGATGGTTCTCACCACCTCGGTTAGGGGGCTAGGCACGGACCCCCCGCTGCCTCCCCTGTTGCCACGTCATGTTTGCCTTATGCCAAAACGTTTATGACGTTGTTATGCCACACTTAGAGCTGGTGATGCCATTCTTCACCGAGTCTTGCCATGGTCCTCAAATATCCCTGACCTGTTGTAGTGGTTGTTGTGACACATCCACACTTCATTTCCATCATGAGACCCTCATGGTGACCATAACATGGAATAAGGGTACTGGGAAGATGTTGAGCTAGATGGCTGCTCCGTGGCAGGATTTTGGATCTCTCTGAGGGCAGGGATTCACTTCTAGGGTCTTTCAGTGTTCTGAATGATGAAGGTACTGTCTGGTCTGTCAACCCATCCACTACAGTTTGGCCTTTGATGGAGCACTAAGGCTGCTGCATTTGTTTGTGCCAGTGTTACTTGAGCACGTTGTTGGGCTGAAGTGCACAGCAGCCCAAGGAGCAGCAGATGTTCTGGGTCGTTTTCCAGGCCTCAGCCCATGCTGCTGCCTGAACTTGTAACTGAGCACTGAATGCCACACTGCAGGTGCATGTTGGCGATGTCTGCCTGGCTCAGCCTCTCCCTCCTTGCCTGTACCAGTCTCCTTCACTGCCTGCTCAGCTCCGTTCCTTTGCTCACACCCCTGAACGCCTGGGTGCAGTGAGGCGTTAGGGAGAACCCAGCATGTTGTGGCCGACTGCTTCGGACTGTCTCTCTGAAGGGTCAGTCTCTAAAAATGCTGTGCTCAGACATGTTGTGTGTGTTTAGAATAACAGCTGAGAGTCCAGGTCCTTCTTTTAAGGGAAGATGTAACTCATGAAGGTCAGGTCTTAAACTGGTGAGAGGATAAGTAATGAGTGGAGTGCTGTAGGTAAAGTAGGTGAAATGGAAGCACATCCTCATGGAGTCAGAGACTAAGGGGAACGTGAGGAGGCCAGTGGAAAGCAGGCTGGAAATAACTATTCAGTACTCTTGATGATCTCTCTTTACACAGCACAATTCTTAGTGCTGTCCTGTGGGGGTTTGGGTAACTTTTGCTTTGAACTTAAATTCATTGCATTTGTTGGTGGGGTTAAGTGGATGGAGGGGTGTTGCATTTTTAAGAAGAGCTGTCTCAGCCGTGTTCCTCTCTTTTCCTGAAGGCCTCAGTTGGCCGGCAGAGCCCGAGGGTGGTCCCATACCCAGCCCGCGGCCTATGTCCTGGAGAGCCCGCCCTTCAGAGTGCAGCAGGTACCTCAGGTCAAAGATGCCTCTGTTTGTTGGTCTAGTTTCCAGAGGAAACAAAGTTCCTGTGATCAGCCTATCTATTCCCTCCTCCTTCCAGCACCTCCTGAGCCTATTGGTTGATTTTCGTACTGTTTGACAGAGAAGGAAAGGCTTAAAGATGCCAAAGCTCCTATAGATGTCCATTTGCCCATTCTTGAATAAGGGGTAATTGCCCTAAAAATGCCCCGGGTGAACGAAAGGCTGCAGTGTGTGCTCACGCATTGTGACACTAGTGAGTCCAGTCAGGAGAGACACAAATACTCAGAAAACCTTCAGATTCAGCTTTCAGTCAGTTGTGGGACTTGAATGTGCAGAGAAGCAGACTCTGTGCTGACGGAGTGACTGCTGCCAGTTGTGTTCCCCACCCCCCTCACTCCGTTCTGACTAATCTCTTCCTCTGGTTTATCATGTCTGCACACACACAAGAGGGGATCATCCCTGGCTTTGTTGCATCTCAAGATTTGGTCTTTGGGGTGCTAGTATCCAACTTCTTATCCCTGCAGTTGTGTCAATGGGCTCAGCTGATCATCGACTGAACCTGGCAGAGATCCTTTCACAGAACTACGGTGTACGGGAAGAAAGGGAAGAAGATGATACTCAGGAGAAGCAGAAATCTTTAGAAGAGCTGGAGAAGAGTTTCAGTGCCTCTCAGGTAAAGGCAGCAGGGGAAGGGAAATTACCTGCAGGATTTGCTTGTTTGCTTTTACAGTACTGGTACCAAAGACCTTGGTGAGAAGCCCTGACTTGCTTAGCTGGCAGCGCACTGAGCTCAGGTCACCCAGCAATGAGTCAGGTTTGCATTGGGATCAGAAGGAATGGTTTTGAGAACACATGACAGCGGTGAATTTTGGAGTCTTCCTCTGCCAAGTAGCCACTCTGATAGGTGGTCCTGGCTCACCTTGCTGAAGAGCCATCAGCTGCTGGGACTATGGTCAGTGTTTCACAGTGGAGGAGCTACAAAGATAAGCTGACATGGTGCTGCTCTGGGTGGTCCCACAGAGACCTTGGTGGAACACAAACCGTGTTCTTGGTGACAGGGAATGTCTCTTCAGGCCAGACACAAGACTAATACAAGGATCTGCTCCTTCCCTTCCTCTGGTTAAATACAGATGTGCAGTTTGGCACCTTTTCACCAGCTTGAAATCTCATATAAAAGAGAAATGTATTTTTAAAATGCCCTAGGCTGTACTGCTTTGGGGTGAAAGTTCCTGGCTTTTCCGTACCGTTAGAGGAACAGGTTTTGGTGGGTCCTGACAGACCCTGCCTTGGTCATCGTGCAGCGTTACCCAAGGCTGCCCTGATTCCCTCTGCATACAGCTGAGGTGTTCATACAGCTGGTGGTGTGCTCTTGTGGTTGTTCTATTCCTGATGCAGCTTTGTCCTCCTCTTGCTCAGAGCAGTGAAATGCCATTTGAGGAGCTGCTTGCACTGTATGGCTATGAGGCATCTGATCCCATCTCGGAGCAGGACAGTGAGAGCAATGACATCACTCCAAATCTCCCTGATATGACTCTGGATAAGGTGAGAGCTGCTGTTTGCCTGGGTGTCTGCTGCAGGTTACTGTGTTGTGCTGGAGCTCAAGGAGCTTGAGGAGCTCTTTTCAGACTGGTTTGCCCAATGCCAGGGGAAGGGTCTACCTAGTTCTGGTGTCCTAGAGGTGCAGAAACATGAATGTAAAGCATTTAGAGATGGGAGAAGGAATATCCATTTTAAAAAGAACTCTGTAAAAACTCTTCATGGAACTTGGGTTGCAAGTCTTTGCACATAGCTGTGGATCTGTGGAGAGCCAGGGAAGGTTTCTATCTTCCCAGGTGAAGCCATGGCTTCTCCTGTTGTGGCTAAAGTCTGTAGAAAGTGCTTTTTTCTTTTTTTCTCTCGGGATCTTTGAGATATTTGCTATGAATGGAGTTCTACAGAAAGGGCCACTTGCTCATCCTCTCTGGCTTCCATAGGTAGCCACTCATGACACTTGCAAAAGTGCTTCTAGGGAAAATAATCTGGGTGTGGTGGGGAGTGTGAGAGAGAATCTGTCTTTGGACAAGCTGTGAGAGGGTGAGGAGATCTGTGGATGTGGCCACTCTTGGCTAGAAATGCTTTACTCTAGGCCTCACTCCCCCTCATATAATTTTTTTAATTTAAAAATATTTTTCACTTTCTTGTTGTTGTTAAAAGGAACAAATAGCGAAGGATTTGCTTTCAGGGGAAGAAGAGGAGGAGACACAGTCTTCAGCTGACGATCTGACTCCATCCGTCACGTCCCACGATGCGTCAGACTTATTCCCAAACCAGCCTGGCTGTATGTGTCATAGTTCCTAAGTAGTCGCTCTTCATTTACATGTGATGTTCAGGAACTGCAGGGGAGGGCAAGAATGGTTTTCTTTATTTTATGAGTTTCTTGACAACAGATTTTCCACTTCTCTTCTGGAGACTGTCCATAAATCTACATGGCAGTGGTGTTACTGGGCATTGGTTAGGACAGGATGGAGTGTAGATGAGCAGCGACATGAAGGGAGAATTGTCTTTAGCTGTAACTCAGAACACTGAGAAAGTGGGAATTGTTTTGCTACCTTGCTTTAATTACAGTGTGAAAGATCAGTACCTCCTCTGACACCGCTACAAGTAAATAAATTCAGTAGCACTAGTGGAGTGATACATTGTGGCAGTTCCTAAATGTTGGAATATGTGGGAAGCCAAAGCAGGTGACAGAGACTCATCAGGAAGTGGACTTATTCCTTCTGCTATCCTACAAAATGACTGAGTTCCCCAGGTTGGCCATCACCACCCAAGTGGCAAGTGTACAGATTCTTTTATTTAAAGTGAGAAAATTAAAATACAGGTAAGTTGTCACTGCAGACCATGCTGAAAGGAACATTAGGACAGAAAATGAAGGGAAGGAGAGGGAACATAGAGCAACAGAAAAAAAAATTCATAACTACAGATCTTTTCCTCTCCCACAAAGCAAACAACTTCCTTGCTGATGAAGACAAAGAGCCCTGTTCATCTCCATGTGCTTCCTCCATGGCTGAGGATTCAGAGGTGGATTCCATCCCATCCAACGAGTGTAAGAAGGTAAATGACCTGAGCACATTGGGAAGGGGAGCTCGTACGGTACTCTTGAGTTTCAAGAAACTTGGCACCAAAGCACTGTAATGTTTCTCCAGTCTGTTGCTCTGTGCCTTGCATTTTGTGGATGGCAGTGGCAGATGTGGGTTACAAGAGGGGTTTTTAATACAATCTTGAAATTTTCTTCTTGAGGTATGGGAAATCTGTTGTGCCTTGGTAAATTAAATCTGCAGCACAGCCTTATAAAGGTGAAATGCTATACAATATTCCCAGCAGGATTTACTGAGAGGGAACAATCTTACTAAAGAGAGGAGCAGGCTCCCAAAATCATCCTGGCTGTGAAGGTTGCAGGAGAGCTTTTGTGTTAAAAAGCTTTATCTCCAGCCTTAGCTGCTTGCCGTAGATCTTTAACATTAAAACTATGTAAATGCCAAAGGTCACCACAGTATGATCTGGTTGATAGTAAATCTTCTCAATTACTCTGTAAAATAGCCAGGGTTCACTAGAAATAATAGTAATGGCAGGGGCTACCAGTAAATACATCAGCCTCACGGTGGTATAGTCCCTAAATCACGAAGTACAGTCTGTGCAGAACATTTTCCATTTCAGTTTACCTGCCTCTCTGTGGTGCTATTTCAGGAGATCATGGTTGGACCTCAGTACCAGGCCACTGTTCCCATCCTCCGCTTAAACAGGCACAGGCAAAAAGGTAAGGCAGCCTGCTCTTTGTGCCTTGTTTGCGTGTAGGGCTGCTGGGTGTAGGGCTGCTGGGTGTAGGGCTGCTGGGTGTTGGGCTGCTGGGTGTTGGGCTGCTGGCCGGGGCGTTTGGTGGGTCCTGAATCACCAGTCCTATATCTCCAGACTTGGCACCTCTCAGTGCTGACAGCCAAATTTACAGCTACATCTGAGCTGGCTTAAATGAGCCTGATTGAATAGGGCTGGGAACACAGGTACAGAAGTGGTGAAGCTCAATGAGAACTGGGTTGGCGTGACAGGTTTGGAGGAGGGGGTCTCAGCTGTAGCCAAAGGGAAGATATATCCTTCTGGAAGTATTCAAATTTATTCTCTCTGACATCTTCCTTAAGTAGCCCGAGTTACTATCATTCAGTGCTCCCTGGAGCTGCTCTGTTTCTTATTTGGTGGGATATCTACAGAGTAGACAGAGGTGCCTTGATTTGCAGATTGTGCCCAATAATGAGTATAGTAAAAGTGCCAGCTTCTTGAGCTTCTGGACAAGAAAGCTAAAGGGGTCTTAGTTGCCAGGATTAATTAACCACAGAAACAATCTTTGAGAACACGGTAACAAAAACTTTGTCAGCCAACCCTTCTGAAGCAATGGAAGCGATCTGAGCCTGTTCTGAGGGCCCTAAAGGGGATGTAAAGAGCTTATCTGCCTCCAAAATCAGGAGGCAGATGAGAGATGGTTGTCATCTCTAGTGCTGGGTTGGAGTACCAAGCAAAGGTTTCCTCCCTCTTCTGTCTTCCCCGTGCATGTCCATGCAGACCATTTCTCAAAAGCAGCAGAATTCTCTGTTTGATTATCTTATTTCAGTGCTTTTTCTGTTAGCCTATGAGAATGAAGATCAGCTTCTTTGGGACCCAAACATCCTCCCTGAGAGAGAGGTTGAAGAGTTTCTGTACCGCGCTGTGAAGCGACAGTGGGACGAGCTGTCCAGCAGCAGCCTGCCAGAGGGAGAGGTGGTGAAGGACAATGAACAGGTGAGCTCAGTGGCTGTGCAGCCCATGCAGACCCAAGTGGTACTTGCCTGACAGTGCCACATTCCCTACAGAGGTCGGAATGAGGTCTAATTCTAGTGATCCCCTGCTCCAGCCTCGCAGATAAGTGAGGGTGTACGGCCCTGCTGCGGTGTGAGGAGGTCAGTCACCCTCCCAGTAGGAAGACTAGAAAAGCCAGCAGATCAACTGTATCAGAGCAGCTGTGTTTCCTCTAAGTTAGCCTGGTTAGATTCTAGAAGTGAGTCTCCAGGAACACAAAGGCACACCTGTAATCTGCAGAGCTGCTGGTGGAACTGCATCTGTCCAGTCCCGGGGTTTTTAATCCAGTGCCTTAAAAAGTGGAATAATCTGAAATACAAGTTTTATGAGACAAACATGAGTCTTGAGCAGGCTGGTTTGTGGTATGTTGCTCAGGTACGTGCTGTGAGTGATTTCCTTCTGTTTCTTAGGCTTTGTACGAGCTGGTGAAATGCAACTTCAATGCAGAAGAGGCACTACGGAGGTTACGGTTCAACGTGAAGGTTATCAGAGGTGAGAACCCCCCTTATTTGGATTCTACCGCAAACATCAACGCACAACTCTTTCTAGATTCTGTACATCTCCAATTCCTCTTTCTCTCTGCTATAGATGAGCTTTGTGCCTGGAGTGAGGAAGAATGTAGAAATTTTGAACATGGCTTTAGGGTCCACGGGAAAAACTTTCACCTTATCCAAGCAAACAAGGTAAGGCTGCTCCCCCCAGCTTCTGCTGAGAGCAGGGGAAGGAGGCAGGTGCTTTGGCACCAGAGGTGTGCTTTGGGCCTCGGTTGATGCAGGGAGTTCAGGATTGCGGAGTTCCAATCCCAGGCTTTGTGTTGACTCATGCCAGCAGGTGATGGGCTGTTCACTGCCCTGCTCTGCCTTATTTTCCAGGTGGGAGAAGTCACAAACACCACTGACCTGCATGAGTGATGTCAGTTAATTACTGATTAGCCCTTTCTGGAGTCTCAAAAGTTCTTTCCAAACTCTCAGCCCTTGCAGTACTTCTGTGAATGAGTGAGTTGAGCATGTGGATGTTTTGTAAAGTCCCCTGGGGTCCTCTAGAATGGCAGATGCTGTTGTAGGGAGAGCTGGGCCACGGGACCTGCTGCTGTGCTGGGAGTTGGCAGAACCAGAGAGTCCAGTTCTACCACTGGTTAACTGTGGGCATGTTGATGCTGGCCAGTGAAAATGGATGCAGGTTTGCTCTCTTTGCTAAGTGTGCTGCTGCTGGAAGTGCAGGGAAGTCCTGCACGAGTGTACATGTCTGGCCCACACGGGTCTGTGAGAACAGCTGTGCACTGTGGGGAGTTCTTTCTCTGGCAGATCGCCACCTCGGAAATCTCAGTACATGCTTCTGTTCTGCAGCATAGATGTGTCCGTAGCAGTATAAATTTCTGTAATGCACTTAATTTTCTGTGCTGGTTAAATGGGAAAATAGCTCCTGCTCCATGGGATACACCTCGACGCATGGTGTTCTGACTGGGATGTTTCTCCTCAGGTCCGCACCCGGTCAGTGGGCGAGTGTGTGGAGTATTATTATATGTGGAAAAAATCAGAGCGCTATGACTACTTCACTCAGCAGACTCGTTTAGGAAGGAAGAAGTACGTCCTCCACCCTGGAGCCACGTGCGTGGAATATTCTCACACTAAAATTAGTAATATTAACCTCCCAGTGAAGATTCCTGCTGCAAAGCACCTCCGCTTAATAGACTGCGCCTTCTTCTCTAGAAGGCTTCTTGGGTGGGAGGATGGAGGGATGCACGGGATGTTCTCAGAACACAAACACTGTTGGTGTGGGGAGGGAAGATGAACTCTTTGCTTGGATTTATACTTTCTTGTGTTAAAAATAGTTTTGTTTCAGGCAAATGCATCCACAAAAGTTAAGGCTTGGGTCAGGGATTCACAGCTGATTTCAAGGAAATAACTCAGTTTGATGAGATTTTGGGAAGGGAGCTTTCTAAATTCAAAACCACTATTTCTGATGGTTTGGAATCTGAATTAATTTCCCTGCTGTTGCCCTTTGAGGCAAATTCTTCACTTTGAAATGTATGCTAATTACAGAAGATACTTTTCAAAATATATCCTTTCAAAAAGGTTGAAAGTGAAATGTCTTAAAAGGTCAAAATGAAATATTGAAGCTGAATCAACTAAAAACATTAGATGAAAGCTTAGATTTTTTTTTTTTTTTAATTCTGATGCAAGAGAGGAGAATACCTGAAATCTTAAATTCTTCCATGGTAGGAAAATATGTTCTTATCACTTGCTCTTTGCTGACACACTAAGGAGCGACTGCAGTCATTCCATGAAACTGGGTGTTCCTGGGCATTTGACCATTTATTTCCCTTTGGAAAAACTGGGGGCAGAGCTCCTTAGGAAACTGGAGAGCCTGTTCTGATTTATCACAGGCTGGTCTTGGCCATGCTGCCATCACCTCCTCAGGGCAGAGTCTAAACTGGACTCTGCAGACCAAGGAGGGATGGACATTCATTCTAGTGATGCCTCTACAGTCCTATTGCTTTATTTGTTGATAGGTTTTAATCCCAGTCACCCTTTTGCCTGCCTGCACCTCTGCTTAGAAGGTGGTGGCAAGGCTCTCTCTCTTTCCCCACAGGGATTATACTGACAATGACCTGGATGGAGTCGAAGTAGAAAACACCAGTCGTTCCCGGAGCTCCCCACCAATTCCCTCTGCAACTGGCTGTCTGAATGCTCACTTTGGTCAAGATCAGATAGCAATAGAGAGCACAGGTAACTTCCTTTTTTTCTATTGGCTATGGGGATCACTTGTCTCCCGCACTCAGTGGCACAGCCCCTCCTTTGCCTTTCTCCTACTGCCATTATCCTGCTGTTGCTCTTCTCCCTGCACCTTGCTGGTGTGCTCACCTTGCCCCCTGTTGAATACCAGTCCCATGCAGGCTTTAGTGTGAGCAGAAGAGTCTTGTCTGTCTCTGCATTGACCAGGGGTGACTATAAAACAGTTGTTCCTGTGTTGGGCTCACAGGGGTGGCCTAGGTCATTCCCAAAGGAAAAGGATTATGCACTAACTTTAGGCACCTGAGTGAGGTCCTTCCTTCCTTCCTTTACACCTCCTCCAGAGACTAGGTTAAGGCCCCAGAAGTGAGGCTGTAGGTGCAAGCTGCTTTCAGACAGAGCTGGCTGTGAGAAGACTCACAGGGAACCCAACATGGGTTCATTCCCTCACTGTCCTACTGCAGATGAAGGCTTTGTGTGGGCAGCTCCCAGGAGCTGTTGGCATGAGCGGGTAGGATTTAGGATTTGGCTTATCTTGGAATGTGTCTGTGAGGTTTCCTTTAATTTCCATAGAAACACTGATGGCCTCCCATCTGCTGTCGGCATCTTGCCTTTCTTCGGTACATGCTGGCAGGGATCTTGGTTGCTGTAATAAAGAAACATTTGTGCCATCAAACAAATACTGTTGTGATTAGGTGGGGTTGACCTGGGTGTTTGTGCATTACGGACTCACTGTAGCTTTCTTTCCCTTGCTGTGTCCTCTTTCCTCCTCTGTGTGTGCAGAGCCCCTGAGCGTGGAGAGCACAGCCTGCAGCCTGGGCAGCATCAGTGAGTCGGGGCAGGGCTATGAGTGCAGCACCCCCTCAGAGACGAATTGCTCCTTTGACCCCACGGAGGAGACAGCCTCAGGTGGTGTCTCAGCGTCCTGCCAACGACACACTGTCCCCCACTCTGAGCCGGAGCTCTTTGCTTTGCCGCCGGCAGGACTGTCAGAGAAGCAGGAGACGTTGCAGAGCTCTGGTGAGACGATAACTATGGACTTCACTCTCCCTGCAGACATTAACGAGGGGTTGCCTTTAATTGCTGGCCCTGTGAATTTGGACAGAGACCCAGAGGCAGTGGTAGCCCCTGCGCAAGTGTCCTTATCGGTCACAGATTTTGGTCTCATTGGCATCGGAGATGTAAATAGTTTCCTGACTGCTCATCAGGCTTGCCCGGCACCTGTGGCTCAGTCAGAGCCTCTGTCACAGTGAGAGTCTCCAGTCACAAATTTGTCACAGATCCAGCAAGGACTTTGACCTGACTGAGTGAAATCCTGGAACTTCCACTGTCCTGTAGGGACAGTTTGGAGCTGTTGGTCAGAATCCGTCTTTCCATCCTCCGTGATCCAAGGCTACAGTGAAACCAAACACCTCTCTGCTCCAGTGTATCCTGACACAATCACACAAAGTGGTGGCTGGCTTTCCTGAGGGGGAAGGTCCATCAGCCCCTCTTCTGTTGACCATGTGTCACCCCAGGTGATGCCAGGCTGCTCAGAGAGTCCTTGCCTCAGGACAGGGGAAGTGTTCCTTGGCCCCAGTGGGACAGTCTGAGGGCAGAGATGCTTTGAGAACAGGACTGTGTCTCTGTCATGTTGAGGACGCAGTTTAGGGGTCCAAGAGGGAGGTCTGCAGGAAGCACAGCCTGCCCAGGCCGCCGGGCAGTTCACTGCAGAGACGGGCATGGCAATGCCAAGGGAAGCCGAGGAGTGTCTTGGCCCTTCTCCCACAGGCAGTGTGTTGCAGTAGGAGTCACTTACTCCAGTCTTCTCCCAACAGCTATGGATCATGACAGGCAGAAGCACTGCTGCTTCCAGCTTCAGGCAGCTGTGTGTTCCTGGCGCCCACTCTCCATCAACTGCAGGTGGGTCATGGCCTGGTCCAACCCTTGGGCTGAAGCATCAGGTCTTGGGAAGGGATGCTGTGTGGTGCAGCAGCATTGTGTGCACTTGAGTCCTTCTCACCTTCCTATGCAGTGCTGGCCCAGGGAAAACTTCTGTGATCAGAAATAGGAGTTTTTAGAGCCACAGAGTGATGCTGGCTCAGAGCACTGTGGTGCTGCCACTTCTGCTGCTGCTGGGGAATGACCTGATCCTCACCTATTCACAGTGCAAGAGGGTAAAATGCAAATGAAAATATCTGTAACTTCCCAGTTAGTTCCAACAATTTGTCAGCAGAGGGAGGAGGTTGCTTAGCTCCCAGAGTGCAAAGCCTGGGACACTGGTGCTAGCTCAGTCCCAGGCAGGGGAGCACACCAACCCTGGGCATCTCTGCCCCTCCCTCACAAAACAGACTGTTTTCTGAGAGGAAAGTGTGTCTTTACTGCCATGCTCAGGGAGGTGACAGGTAGCCCCATCTGGTGGCAAGGTACTGCCTGCCGTGCAGAGCCATGGGGGCCTGTCCATGGGTGTGCTGGGGTCCAGAGCTGCTTTGCTTCCCACGTGTTCCAGGTCTGGTGTTTGCCACTGGCTTAAATCCAACGTGTTCTCATTCCCCTTTTGCCATGCTGAGAATGCTCTCTGCTCACCTGCTGAGCAAGGCCCTCATGCAGATGGTCCCTTCCTCCAGCCGTGTTCTGCAGCTGGGAGGGGGCTTGGACTGAGGGCTTTTGCTTGCTTTGGTAGAGGCCTTAGAGCTGTGACTGTGCACTTGGCTCTGCTGCCAGTGAATTTCGCAGGTACCTAAACCCACAAGCCTGCATCCTCCTTTTACCTGACCCTGCGAAGTTGTGCTCAGCCCTGCAGCCGGAGGACAGAGGCAGTATGAAGCAGCCTCATGGGATGGCAGGATTAGACCTTGTCTCATCCCCTAAGCCCCAGATCTGTTCTGTGTGCATTAGCAGGGGTTTGCTTTGGTCCCCAGCACTCTGCTGGGAAGTGCTGAGCGTCAGGCACAAGCAGCTGCCTTCAGCTGGCCAAATGGGGTTGGGAGAGGCCTCCCCTCCAGCTGCTCCCAGTGCCCGCTCCATAGTGGAACTGCCTAGGCTATGATTCCCCTTTTCTGGGGGTGAGAGGAATCTCCTTGGCTGAAGGGAGAAGAGGCAGGGTGAAAGTATGGGTAGCCCTCCCAGGGAGGGCCAGGCCTTGGCATCTCCTCCATCAGTTGAGAACATTCTTAGTTTTTCTGAAACCATTTTTTCTTTTGGTTTGTTTCAAGCCCTAATGAAAGGAGACAGGAGCTGGAGAAGGCAGAAATCTCTTTATGTCTTTCAGTGTTGTTTACAGATTTGCATGGGGTCTTTCAACATGCGTGTGGGCTTTTTCCACATAACTTTGAGACAGAGGGGCAGAAAAGGCTGGGACAGGGAAGGGGGAGTCACTGGGAGAGGAGGTTTGGTTTTGGTTTTTGTTGGGGTTTTCCTTTTCCATCTTACAAAGCACATTCACTTTGAGCCGCTCCCACTGCTGGACTCTTCTCCCTTGCCCCCCAGCCCTACACTGTGAAGTGACACTGCCTTGATGACCCCTCGCCATTATTTATTTAATTAAAAACCTAATTTGAAAGCGAGTAAGAAGCCTGTCTTCTTTTTGGAGACCAAGATGCAACACTCCTGGGTGTCATAATGGCAGAAGAAAGAAAAGGGGTCTCTGGCTCCCGTCTGATCCTGTCCTGCCCTGCAGGATGCCATCCCAGCCTGGGAGGACATCCAGCATCCCTGGCTGAGTTTTGCCCCTGGCGCTGTGGGTGGAGGGAGCTGTTTGTTGCTCTTATAGGTGCCCCAAGTTCTCTGAACCCATCAGCTTGTGGCAGGCCTGTGGTGGTGGTAGGCAGGGGTCCATCCATGTCTCACCACTTCAGCCAGGAAAAGCATCCTGGGGGTTCCTGCTGCAACTGCATTGTGTTTCCCCACCACAAAGCCCCTCTGTTCCATCAAAAACTCATTAAATTCTCTTCTCCTGCATGTACCTGGCTCTGGCCTTCCGTCCCGGGGCCTTGGGAGGCTCTGGCTGCGCAGCCCCCTGGCTCTCCCCTGCAGAGGTAGGTACGAGGGTGGGCATAGCAGGACAGGAGCAGGTCCTACTTCCTCTGAGGCCCCGAGGTGCAGCAGGAAGGATGGGTGTGCTTGAAGCCCTCGTGTGAGACCGTGGTCACCTCATTGCATCCTTCGAAGTGAAATGCTGGTTTCGGCCCTGTGTGACCCGAGCTATGTTTCCGAGGCTGTGGGAGCCGCAGGGCCGGAGACCCCGGGCTCTGCAGCCCCACCAGGCCCCGGGGGAGAGTCCCGGGCGGGCTCTGCAGCCGCAGCGCTCGGACGGCAGAGGGAGCCAGAGCCCCGCGCCCGGGACCCCCCCCACCCCTCCTGGGTCGCCGCTTTCTGCCCCCATGACACCCCCGAGCGCGGGGTTGGGCCGTTCCCGGGAGGCTCCTGTCGCCCTGGCACCTCCCGGCAGCCACGGGCCCGCGTGGGGCAAAGTCCTGCGGTGCCCGCGCTGCTGCCGCGTTGCGCTCCCCCTGCTTGCTCCAGCGCGGCGTCGTGTGCCTGCAGTGGGGGTCCGTGCCCTGTCCTCGGAGCCCCACACTGCCACATCTATGTTCCCACGGCAGCCCAGCCCGGAGTCTTCCCAAGACAGCCACAAGGGCGGCTCGGCAGGACTGCTTAGGGTTGCGATGAGAAGGGGGGATTTATCAGTGGTGAGACAGGCTGTGTTAATGCCCACATCCCCCACGTGACACAGCCTGGGCGTCCCACGGATTCCAGCCACCCACCCTCCCGAGGAAGCGGAGAGGGGCGAGGAGAGTCTGAGTCCAGACGGCTTCCTGCCGCGCCCCACACCTGCCCCGGTCCCGGCCCCGGCGCTCCCGCCCCGCCCCGCCCCGGCCCCGGGCGGAGGCGCCGACTGCCGCCCCGCCCCGCCAGCCCGGACTTTACCTCCCGGCCGGGCCCGCGTCGTTCCGGGCCATGTGAGCCACGGGGTCGGGCCGCGGCGCCTCACCGGCTGCGGGATGGAGCGCAGGAAGGTCTTCGTGGCGCTCGACGTACTCTGCCTGGCGGTCGGTGAGGGCTCGGTACCGGTACCCCCGCCGTGGGCGACTCTGAAGCGTCACCGCGTCCCGCCCGTGCCTTCGGTGGGGTCGCGCCGCGGGCTGGGGTCAGATCCGCGGAAGGTACAGGGGGTCCGGGGTCCCGCCGCGCCTCCGCCCGCTCCGGCCCGTGGCCGGTGCCGCCGATCCGGGGGCAGGGCGGGAGGCACCTGCCCGGCCGCTGTCCCGAGGCTCTGGGCCTCCTCCAGAAGCCACAGGCGGTGCGGGCGGGCGCGGCAGGGCCAGGCGAGCGCCGGTTCCTGCCCCAGCGCTACCGGGCTCCGTCGGGAGTCCCGGTTCCCGAGGGCGACCCCGTTGGCCGAGCGCCCCCCCGGGGACTACGGTCTGTCCCAGGCCAGGAGGCAGCAGCTGAGTCCCGCCGCTCGGGCGGCACCGGGACGCTTCCTCCGCCGCCGCCGCCCTGGCTGCCTGCCCGCCGCCGAGCCCGGCGCTCCACGGGCAGACGGAGCGAGGCCGGGGCTCCGCAGCCTCGGACGGGTGGGTTCGGGGGGCCTCTTTCAGGACGTCCCCCACCGCTCGGTGCGGGCAAATGCTCGTTTCTGAAACTGCAGGAAAGCACTGAATTAAGACGAACTAAAAATAAAGGCCCGGAGCTTCCCGGGCTGCGGGCCCCGGCGCGGGGGGGCCCGAGTCCCAGTGCTGCTCGAGGCGCGTTTCCCTCCTGTGGGCCGGTGCTTTATATTTTTGGGGGAGCTTTTTTTGGAGGATGAAATTTTCCAGAAAGAAAATTGGTGTCTAATTTGAGCTGAAAATGGACGTCTGAGGTGTGCAGGGAGGCGGCGGCGGGGCCGGGAGGGACCGGCGCTGGTTCCCCGCGGGGCGGCGGGGCAGCTCCCTGGGGCTTTATCGCCCTGCTCCCCGTTCTCTCAGTGAGCGCAGGAGGCGGCGGGACCCCCAGGGCGGGAGCGAGGAGGCAGGGGCGGGCGGGGACAAAGGTGCGAGTTCCCGGGAGACGGAGGAACAAGGGGAGGCGGAAACCGCCGGGAAAGGCAGAACAGGGAGAGGAGACTGGCCTAAGGTGGCCTGCGGAGCCGGGGGGCTGCTTCCCGGGGGGACACCCTGGGACCCTCAGGGTGGGGGCGCCCGGCCCGTCCTTGGCTGTTTCTGGGCAGGGTTGGGGCAGAGCCCCTTCCAGCGAGGGGCTGGCACGGCTACTGCGTGGGGCAGAGACCTGCAAACTCCTCTGGATCTCTGGGCATGGTTCCTTCCCGGGTGAGCTCTTAGCTGCCAATGGCCAGAGCTGCAGCACACTGGGTGGAAAAGCCTCCTTTCCCAAACTGACAAAGCCTGCACAGCATCTCTCAAGAGCCTCGAGGAGGCAGGGGAGTGAAGAGGCTGGTAAGAGCAAGGGCAGTGGGAAGGTGAGAGGGACAAGCCAAGCACTTTGGAGTCCCACTGTGCCTGGGCAGGATCACCCATCAGCATCGCTCAAGCACCAGCTCTCCTGGAGCTGCTGTGAGGATTCTGCTGGGACCATCTCGGGGCCCTTTACTGCTGTAAAACAGTTTTGCAAGATGCCTGTGCTCATTAATTTTAATGAGGTCTGTCTTCCTAGGCTGAAAGACTCTGGGGAGCATGAGGAAAAGGCACAAGATCAAGCCTTGCCATAGTGTGCCTGGGGAGGAGTGGGACAGCCGTGGGGGCTCTGCAGGTGCCCAGTTGTGGCCATGTCATGTGGTATCTGGGCGCTGCAGGCATCTGCAAGCTCTTAATAGGGCCATATCGGTGGTGGGACCAGTACGTTGGTGGGTTCAAGTCCTCCTGCTCAGGGTACAGGTGGCTCAGGACTTTATCCCCGAAGGGGATTCCTCCCCAGCATCAGGGAGCAGAGCCCTGGGGACGAGAGATGGGGAGACTGCACAGTGCTGCATGCCGGTATGGAGCCTGCTGGCTGGTGTCCCCAGTCCTCACCTCTCTCTACCTTGCAGCATCTCTGCCCTTCATCATCCTGACACTGGTGAACTCCCCGTACAAGCGAGGCTTCTACTGCAGTGATGACTCCATCCGCTACCCCTACAAGGCAGACACCATCACCCATGGTCTCATGGCTGGGGTCACGATCACCTGCACTGTTGTCATTGTAAGGATATACCACCCCCTTCTCTCCAGGGCAGGGGCATCCTGACGTTGTATGTGGAAGCTGGGGCCCAGCACAGCCACCTCCAGAGCCCTGGCAGGGCAACAGGACCCTCAGCTTAAGTGCTGCTCTGCTGGGGGTCAGGAGCTCCCACTGGGGTAGCGAGACCCACATCCTGTGGAGCTGGTTCCCTGAAGGGACAGGGAGAGGGTCTATGAGCTCCTGTGGCAGGCAGATGCTAGGGGCTCCTCTGCCACAGAACCAAGAGCCAGAGCATCCTGCAGCCCTGGTTCTGAGGAGATACTCAGTAGTGCTCAAACCTCACCCCTTGCCTCCTGGTCTCTGCAGATCTCATTGGGGGAGGCATACCTGGTCTACACTGAGCGCCTCTACTCCAAGTCAGAGTTCAACAACTACCTGGCTGCCCTCTACAAGGTGGTGGGGACCTTTCTCTTTGGGGGGGCCATCAGCCAGTCCCTGACTGATCTGGCCAAATACATGATTGGCCGTCTCCGGCCAAACTTCCTGGCTGTCTGCAATCCTGACTGGTCCAAGGTGAACTGCTCCGTCTATGTGCAGCTGGAGAATGTCTGCCAGGGAGACAGCAGGAACATCACCGAGTCCAGGTGAGCTGTTGGGCCACAGGACATGTCTCCTCCCAGCAGGCAGTGCTGGGCTCCCAATGGCAGCCCCAGATGGGTATTGATGCTCTCCTGCTGCAGGGCAGAGCCTGTGGAGTGGCTAGAGGGCTTGTGGGGGCTGGCTAAGGGCTTGTTGTCATGATCTGACCCATTCCTTTTGCCCCACAGATTGTCCTTCTACTCGGGACACTCCTCCTTTGGGATGTACTGCATGATGTTCTTGGCGGTAAGTGCCATGCCACCAGAAGGCAGCCAGCCCCCACAGATCCCATGCACCCTAAGCACCCCATCATCAGGCTAGTTGGTGCCCCCTGATCTGGGTGACTGCTCCCCTCTTTGCTGCCCAGCTCTACGTGCAAGCCCGGCTGGTGGGAAAGTGGGCCCGGCTGCTGCGTCCCACCATCCAGTTCTTCCTCATCACCTTCGCCATCTATGTGGGCTACACCAGGGTGTCTGACTACAAGCACCACTGGAGCGACGTGCTGGTGGGGCTGCTCCAAGGGGCTCTCATTGCCGTCCTCATCGTGAGTGTCCCCTGTGCAACCTGCTGCTTGGCCAGGTTCCTGCTTGGCCTGACGGAGGGGTCCCCAAATCTTCCTGTTGGTCTTTTTCAGGTCCGCTATGTCTCTGACTTCTTCAAGCACCGTCCCCCACGGCAGTGTGAGGAGAAGGACCCAGAGCGCAAGCCCAGCCTGCCGCTCACCTTGAGCGATCCCGACCACAATCACTACAGCTACCGCGGT